TATGGATACGATAGTAAAACAAGACGTACGGGTAGGGTTAAGTGGTGGCACAGAGTTCCCCACGTCGTATGGATGCGATAGTAAAACAAGACGTACAGAAGGGTTATAATCCAGATTTTTCCTTGTTCATAGTGAGAGTCCAATGTCCCAGCTGTAAGTTGTAAGAAATCTCTCTCCACTGTAACTTTTATGAACTTTTGACTGACAGCTCATTTTGTTCTCAGACAAGCCTCCACGGCCGGCCCAACTTGTGGGCTCAACAGTTGCTCCTCTTGTCAGGTTTCCGCGGGCTGAGTCCCAGTCTGGAGCGACACCTGACCACTGCCCATCACCGGCTGACGGCCGAGGAGGAGAGGGGTCAAAGTCAGGGCTGTCTGATGGAGTTGTACAGTTTCCTCAGCCTGCTTAATGGTGAGTCGGATTTTGTGTGACTGTGAGTGTGTCTTTGTGTTTTTAGTTTTAGTGTTTTACGACACTTGCAACACAATGAGGTCATATACGTGCCGAAGAATAGATGTGTTACAAGAGAGTAACAAACACAAAAAAGGAGGAGAGATCAGGACGATAGATGTTTGATAGGAAAGGAGGAGAGATCAGGACGACAGATGTTTGACTGGAAAGAAGGAGCAAACCCTTCAGCATCGATGTGAAAAATGTACTAAAGGGTTATACGGTCGCTTTTAAGGACAAGCGGGTTAACCCAGATTTCGGAGGTTTCCAGAAATCTTGTCCTACACCAAAATTGGGCATTGCCCTACTTATAGGAGAAGTTTGGTTTCATTGGTGTGTATATTTGTTTGGTAATAGAGAAAACTCTCCTTGTCTTTTAAAGAAACTGAACAAGGGGCAAAAACTTTACCTTCGATTTTCTCTAAATAACGTTTTTGGGGATAGCCCCCTTGTGCTTAAAAGTGACCATGTGTCAATTTTGTCTGTTTCAGATCGCAAGTTTGTCCAGTTTTTGACGTACGCATGGATTACGTGTCAACTTTGTCTGTTTCAGATCGCAAATTTGTCCAGTTTTTGACGTACGCATGGATTACGTGTCAATTTTATCTGTTTCAGATCGCAAGTTTGTCCAGTTTTTGACGGCACACAATAACTACGCCCTGGCTGGATTGGTCAACGAGCTGCTCAAACTGAACAAACCGCCGGAGGAAATGGCCGCCGATGGAGAGGGACAGCAAAATCTGACGTAGTGTTTCAGGGGCCGGGGGGAGAGAGGGGGGGGGGAGTACCGAGTGACGGTCCAAAAATGTACATGTTGGCTTTTTTGGTGCTTTGTGGGTGTGTGGAGGGTGCCACTGAATGGTGGGTTCTTTTTATGACCGTTCACAGCCACAGTCAGTTTAGTTTTCGTAAGAGTTTCATTGCACTTGCAACACAATAAGGTCATATAAGTGCCGGAGAATAGAGCTGTTACAAGAGAGTAACAAACATGAAAAAGGAGGAGGAGAGATAAGATGATAGATGTTTGGTAGGAAAGAAGGAGCAGACCACACCAGAGCACCCACCAACCACCCACAGTGCGTCAGTCCGTCAGTATTGCTTTGTTTTATGTTAGTCCATCACGCCTGTTCTCGTGGCTAAATGACCGTTGTTTTATTGTGTTGATGTGCCTCACTTCACAAAGACTCGCCCCAAAAATGATCTGTCTCTGCTTGTAAATGAACATTTGTACTTGAGGAGTTTTAAGTCTTGTCATAATGGGGGATTTGAAATGATTGTAAATAAATATTCTTCTGCATGCTACAGCTACAGCCAAGACCCTAACCGCTATACCGAAGACACAGGTGTTATTGGGACAAAAATGGGACATTTTGGTCTTGTATTGGTTGCTTTTACTTTTAAGGACAAGCAGGCTAATCCAGATTTTGGGGGTTTCCAGAAATCTTGACCTACACCAAAAATGGGCATTGCCCTACCCATAAGAGAAGTTTGGTTTCATTGGTGTGTATATTTGTTTGGTTATAGAGAAAACTCTCCTTGTCTTTTAAAGAAACTGAACGAGGGGCTAAAACTTTGCCTTCGATTTTCACAAAACAGCATTTTTCGAGATAGCCCACTTGTGCTTAAAAGTAACTAATTATGTATAAGAAAAGTCGTCGCTTGCAGAAACAATGTCTGAGTTGTCCTGACAGTGGAAGATTGTTTTCTTCAGTGAAAGTCAGAAAGACAGAAAGACAGAAAGACAGGAAGACAGAAAGACAGAAAGTCAGAAAGACAGAAAGACAGGAAGACAGGAAGACAGGAAGACAGAAAGACAGAAAGTCAGAAAGACAGACAGACAGAAAGACAGAAAGACAGAAAGACAGACAGACAGGAAGACAGAAAGACAGAAAGACAGGAAGACAGAAAGACAGAAAGACAGAAAGTCAGAAAGACAGAAAGACAGAAAGACAGAAAGACAGAAAGACAGACAGACAGAAAGACAGAAAGACAGGAAGACAGGAAGACAGGAAGACAGAAAGACAGAAAGTCAGAAAGACAGACAGACAGAAAGACAGAAAGACAGAAAGACAGACAGACAGGAAGACAGAAAGACAGAAAGACAGGAAGACAGAAAGACAGAAAGACAGGAAGACAGAAAGACAGA